CTAAACTGGACCAACAATTTAAAAAAGTATGAAAAATGATGAAGATAATTGAAATAAAGATCAAACTGTTAGGAGGAAACTCGGAGTAGAGTTTAGGACAGGATGTTGACACATAGGAACTGACATCAACCTGAACAGTTATATCCGTAACTAACTCTAATAGTGCTGCAATGAGACCACGAGCACAAAGCCTACAGCTTCAGGTTCCTTCTTTTCTTCAAGCGGCTTTTGTTTAAAAGAAATACATCGAACCACAAACATCAGATTCCACAGATCTTTTTTTATTTTCGCTCTTCCTTCCAGGTAATCTAGATATAGACAAGGGGGATGTATATAAAGACGAGGAGGGGGGAGGCCATCTGTTTCTAACCTCTACCAGCATAGATGAGGTGACCACAAAGAAAAAAAACTCCACCTCTAAAGCTATGATTAGAACCAACGACCACATGTTTTCAGGCGGCCAGCTGGCGTCTGCAGGAGGAAGCTGTGCTTCTACTTTATATTCTAATTAAATAAAAATCCCCCATAAAATGTCAGGCTAAGAGTGAAAATCAGAAAATGACTCCTTGGTAGTGCTTATAGCCCAGAGAGGTAGCATTATACTAAGTATTATTATTTCCCATAATCACTGACCCTGATCAGATGTCTAAATAGTGCAACTTCCTCTTTTCTTTTTTTTTTTACTTTTTTATTTAGCTTTAAACCTCCTGCTGACTGAGTTTCTAGTGTTAAAAGTGGGATTGGAAATGATAGTCTTGAGATCTCCACGTCCCAGAGGTCTAAACATGAGAAGGAGCATACCTTTTTTTTGCTTCTTGATCAGTTTGTGTTTATTTTTTTCCACTCAGTATATTTTTGATTAATTTTACCCACAGATAAGTAAGATATCTTGGCAACTTTATGAAGACGTTTCTGACTTCTTAAAATGAGTTAAATCTATTTTATTTTGACTGTTTATTCATGAAGAAAAGAAGCAGGTGAAAAGCTAATCTTGATCTATAGAGGAACAGCAGCTCTCATGTGTTAGATTGATATTCAGTTCTGCTTTTTTCTCCAAATTATAAAAGCACTGGGGCAAAGTGTTGGACCTTCCCTTCATGAGCAAAAAAATTGATCTTGCTCTCGAGAAAAACTAAGATGGAGGGAATCTATAAAATCCTTTCACCTAAAGAGAAATAAAATCATATCTTACAAAACAAGCAGAAGAATTTTTATTAAATTTGGCATAACCTTTCTCAGTAGACAACAGATTGAAAGGAGGAAGATGAAGGGTTTAATAACAGCAAATGTATAGGTCATGGAAAGGTCATGATAATAATTAACATTGGGGGACCAATTTCCATGCAGGTTTTCTTTGCAAAGCCAAAAGCCTGTAGAACCTCTGCAAACCACACAGAAAAGACATTTAACAAAAAACATTCAACTTGTTGAGCAAAGAACCGGAAAAACTTCTGCTTCATTCCCTTCTCTTTTAGTTTTAAAAAGAAAAACCCTAAAAAGGAAAGAGGAACCGTCGCCGTTAAGCAATCTGTCTGCAGAAGTAGAGACTTTACCTTTTTCTTTGGCCTTTGACTTCTTCTTCTTCTTTTTGATGATTATCTCCCCATAAGTCACTTCCCCTGTTCTTATGGTTGAGTAGACTATAGATGGATCACCGTCTGTGAGAAGAAGGAAATATAAACTTTACTTCCCTCCATACAGCTGCATATGTTTAGAGAAAATACATCAAGCAGTCTATTAATTATCAATATTACATCCAAATATGTCAACTTGAAGAAAGAAAATCAATTAAATAGAAAAAACATTAGTTTTGATGTTTAGATTAAAGGGCTGCATGGTGAGCAGTTAGCCTTGCAGCAAGAAGGTTTCTTTGTTGCCTGGCCTGAGTCTTCCTGCAAGGCACCAGTTTTAGGGAAAACCCCGACATCCTGAACCTACATTGCTCCACTAGCACACTCCTGTTGCATACAAAGGCTTTAAGATTGCCCTTTTGGTTTGCAATACTTCATTTCTGTCTTTTAAACTTCTTTCCCTATTCACTTGTGACCATTTCACCAGAACAAGACCAGGCGACCAGAGTTATGATATAGGGAATGTCAACAAGTCAACAAAGAACTACTAGAGACAAGCAGGTCAGCATTTCCTTAGTGTAGATGTGGAGAAAAAAGGTAACATATTTCAAGATAATGGAAAATAAATGCTCCTTCCATTGGTAGATAATCTGATTCACCTGCTCAAATAAAGGGCAAAAATAATCCTTTTAAGAATATTTTATGTTTGCCTATGCACCATAAGATGGTCGCCAACAGGCTCCATAAATGGTGACTGTTGCTGCGTTTCCATTACAAATGTACGCAAAACTATGTCGAAATTCTGCTAATTTAAAGAAATGATAATATTTGAGGTATTTTCATTAAATAACGAATACAATTAAAATCTATTGTTCACGCGATAACCTTGAAAACAACATGGCAGCAGCAAATTTAAACACATGAGATTAGCTCTAGTAGGCGCCATCATCTTTCTTCTTCATCATCTTTTTACAAGGCAGTAAGGACCAGCTGGAGATCATGTGACTTTGGTGATGTGATAAAAAAACGTGTTTTTATTGTGAAAAATTACAATTTCGATATGAGAGAAAAAGAAAACAAATTATCAAAGGTTTAGTTTTTTATTGCAGTTTTTCTATTTAGAGAATATGTTTTTGGGAATTAAAATTTGCGCTATTTGATGGTTAATGGAAATAAAACTGTAGACTGAAAACAACAGAGGCTAAAAGGTCACCCACTGGTTTGTGAATCATTCTCACTGTGATGAAAATAAAAAAGTCGGAAGGGAAATTTTTTCTCCTCTCATGGACTTGCATCATATTTCTATGCAATTATAGTTAGCCAATAATTATGTGGCAACTGTGGGTCCATATGTAGACAGTTTTGTGCTTCTTGTATTAATTTACTTATTTTGTTGAAACCAGATAAAGGTAAATAATTTAAATATATCCTCTTGTTTTTCTATTTTCTGAAGAGTTCTGGTGATCGGTGCCTTTTTTTTGGCTCGAACCCCTGTCCCCC